ATAGTTAACAATAAATTATATATTTATGATAAGTTAACAATAGAATAAAACACGAACGTTTACATAATCAAACTTGATCACTCTTCATCATCAGAAACATTATCCACATCATCATTTTCTTCAGATTCATCTACGTTGGCTTCGTCCATAATTGCATCGTCTGGAAATTCTTCATATCTCGGATTATACGGATCAACAAGTAAGATATCATCAATAGCTTGCTCAGGTACTTCTACTTCATTTAAGGCATCTTCTTGTAAAGGCGGTTGTTCATCATTCAATACTCGGCCCCGAGGTATAACTTTTATAGCGGCTAACCAAGAACTTCCAAATTGTCTAATCCTTGGGTAAAGAATAAAACAAACTTGGTTCTCTTGAGAAGCCAATATGGAAGGTTCAAATTTGGTGTACCACGGTGTAGCATTTATATCAACAACACCAAACTTGCTATACCTAACACCTCTATTGACGGGGGGGGGGGGGTCAAACCAGTCACATTTGAAGAGAACGCATTTAAGCTTCATGCCGGGAAACTCCACTTCGATGATCTCTTGTAAGATTCCATAGAAATCTGTTTCACCTTTCACACATACTCCATAATTTATTGTTGCTCGTCGGCTTCCATATTTGTAAGTGTGAAAAGTGTAACCACGTGTGAAATACATAGATGCTGTGGTGACCTTAACGACCGGACCTTGTATAAATTTGTGTAACCACGGAGGATAAAATGGGTCATCATAATCAACCTGGATCATCAACATATATAGATAAATATATAACTTCATTAAATATATAACTTAATTAATTACTTATACTGTGATGTACACCTGTGTTGGTCTTTCCTTTTGTTGAGATCATTGGTTGATATCCCTGGTATAGCTTATTCGACTTGGGCAACGAAATCACTGTTTTAAAATAAAATGATCATTAAGAAGTATATATATGTGGTAAAATTTTATGACAAAAATAATACTACTTACTTGACGAATAACTCAAGCTCCTCGCAGTTAAGGAGTATATATGTGTGGGCATTGTGAGCGTCTTCTGAACTCGACCACCAAACTTCTTTTAGTTTTCCACTTAGACATCCAATCTGACTGAATATGTCTGGAACATCTTCAACAATATATGTCGGCACAACAACACCATCATCATATCTGCTCGTAGTCTTTTTCTGTGTCCGGACTTGTGATCCAAAGTAGTACGACGTGAAGTGAGATGTTTCCACATTCAAACTTCCAGAAACTATTGAACCTTCTACACATGCCAGATTTTTTGCTTTCCCTTTTAAATGTTTCATGGCTTGCTAGTAAGCATACATCCATCCATTATGAACAGGTCCACGAAGCAGTGCCTCATACGGAAGGTGGATAATAAGATGCTCCATGTCATCAAAAAAAGTCGAGAATTTTTTTTTCCAAATTACACATCAAGATCGGGATATTCTCATGAAGTTGTCTGATTACATCTACAGTTAAGGTGCGTGCGCTAAGATCTCTGAAAAAGCTCCAATGCCTACATATAATGTACAAGACAATGTAAGAAACTTTTTTTAAGTTTTGTTTCTAACAAAAAGTAATAATAACTTTGATTAATTATTTAATTATTACCTGCAAGTGCTTCGTGAACATTTTTTGGAAGCTACTCCGCAAATGCAAATGGTAGAAGTCATTACATAAACACATGATAGTCATGACTCGACACCTCTGAAAACTTTTGTCCCAGCCAATGAACACATTTTGATAGATTTGAAACATATCCATCAGAAAACTTCACATCTGATGCCACTCACTTTAACAACGCAGCTTTTGCTGCTGCTGACAATCTGAAAATGGGAACCGGAATTTTCCCATCGCTTTTAATATGCAGCTCAACCCTAGAACATAATGCAGGCAAATCCAACATTGAGTTCTTGTTATCTTTTGTCTTCTCGGGGACGTTCAACAAAGTATTGATGATGTTGTCAAAGAAATTCTTCTCTATATGCATCACATCAAGATTATGTCGCAGAAGTAGATCTTTCCAATATGGAAGTTCCCAAAATATACTCTTTTTGTTCCAATTATGTTGTGTCCCGTAACCATCAGGCATATTTGCAAGAGTATGCCAATTACCCCCTCCGGTGACTGTGTCTAGTCCTCCCTAGTAATCAATATCTTTTTCAATTTCTTCTCCAGATAAATATGGTGGAGTGGTGTCCCGTACAACCCTTTTTGACCGGAATAATTTCTTATTCTTTCGGTACGGATGGTTAATGGGAAGAAATCTTTGATGAAAATCAAACCATGACGTCTTCCTACCATGCTTCAGCTGAAATGTGTATGTGCTTTCCATACAATAAGGACGAGATAGCTTCCCATGCGTCGTCCAACCTGACAACATTCCGTATGCAGGAAAGTCACTAAGGGTCCACAAAAGAACTGCTCGCATTAGAATGTTTCTTTTTGTTGAATAATCATATGTTTTAACGTCTGTTAACCATATTTCCTTCAATTCTTTTATCAAAGGGTGTAGAAAAACATCCAGTGACCTCTTCGGATGCTTTGGTCCAGGTATCAATATACTCATGAAAAACAATTCTTTTTCCATACACATCTCTGGTGGAAGGTTGTAAGGTGTCAAGAAGACTGGCCAAAGCGAGTATTGTCTTCCAGACATTCCAAATGAACTAAATCCATCTGTGCAGAGCCCAAGATAAAGTGTTTCCACGCTTTTGCATCAGGGTACACCGAATTCAAATTTTTACTTGCAAAATCAGGGTACACCGAATTCAAGTGTTTCCACGCTTTTGCATCAGAGGGATGATTAATCTCGCTTTCTTTCTGAGTTTGTTCCGCATGTCATCTCATTGATGCTGTCGTCTTCTCAGATTGATATAATCTCTTTAGTTTATCCTTAATAGGTAAGTACCACATATGCTGGTACGGCACCCTATTCCATCCACGTCCTTGCGGTTTATATCATGACTTCTTGCAAAATTTACACTCTAACAATTCTGCATTGTCTCCCCAATATATCATACTGTTGTTTATACACACATCAATCGTCTCCGGAGGTAAGCCAAGACTATGAACAAGTTTTTGAATCTCATAATAAGATTCAGCACACAAATTATCTTCAGGCAAATACTCTTTAAACAACTCAGCCCATGCATCCATACAAACTTTAGGTAAGTTATGCAGTTTTTATATTTATCATCCTACCTGCCAATGATAATTTAGAAAGATTTTCTCTACAGCCTTCATAAATTGGCTCATTAGCTGCTGCTAGCATTTCATAAAATCTTTTTTTGCATCCAAGCTAGACCCCTCTACATTTTCTACCTCTTCTATTATTGATGTTGTTTCACGAAATGCATCTGTAACCATATCACGCATCCTATCATGGTCTACCATATGATCCTCTTGCAGGTAAATTTCAGAAGGCAATGTGGTTCCTCTATGTTATGAACATTTTCAACTTGATTACTACTACTAGCTTCAATCCTATTATCAGTTTCTCCATAGTTAAACCAAATATAGTAATGTGGAGTAAATCCTCTATTTACTATATGTTTGCAAACCGTTTCACTAGCAGCAAACTTCGTATTGTTGCATTTACGACAGGGACAGAACATTTTACATGTTTCCTGTATGAGAGATGTCTGTCCAGTCTGGTACATGAATATCTCTGCTCCGTTGAGAAATTCGTCTGTTACTCTTCCCCTTGAATCTTTATGTGCATACATCCAACTCCCAATCTCATAAATATTTCTAGACATTTTTTTTTCGTTTTTTTTTTCTTCTGCATATTAAGAATGAAGGAGAAGATCATATTTATAAGGAAAATTTGATTTTGGTAGGTAACAACGTTACAACAAACTTACCTTTTCAACTACGAATGTACAACTTCTTTCCTCGTAACTTAGTAGGTACACAGATGCAAAACATTAGATGTACAATAGTCATAATGTTACAACCAATTTACAACCACTATTCTCGTAATTTGGTTGTTAATCAGATGCTAAACATTAGTTGTAACGTAGTCGTAATATTAATTTACAACCATTATCCTCGTAATATACAATTAGTTATAAATTAGTCATAATATTACTACCAATTTACAACTATGATCCTCGTAATATAAAAAAATCATCGTAATGATGTACTAAAATTACGACCAATGGGTGACTAAACCCAATTACGACCAATTTGAGACAGCCGTTCTAATATTTTAAAAATTGAGAATAAAGATAATGGAATCACAAGCCGGTATATTCTAAGCGAGACCTACTTTTATACTTAAGTCTCACATTAGTCTCCTCCTACTTGTGATCCTATATCTTTTTTTCTCTCTTTTTCAAAGATTTTTTAATATTTTTTTCGGATTTGAGAAAAATATTGGTCTGTATTTATAAGAAACGTTACGACCAATTAGCTTCGAACATTTACGACCAATTCGCTTTGACAACTATGCATTTGTCGTAATCTAGTCGTATTTTATGATCGATTAGCTTCAATTTTTAAAGTGACTGATCGATGTAAATTGGTCGTACTTTAATGATCAATTTACGTCTGCGTGGAGTTGTTGTCGTAAATTAGTTGTTATTTAACTACTAATGTACGACTACAATATTTGGTAGCAATATTATGTCGAAATTACGAGAAAATGATTTGTAGTTGTACGGTAGACATAAAATATATGTTAATTTTACGACTACACATATGTGTTCGTAAATTCTAGTCGCTACTCCCACGTTTTCTTGTAGTGTGAAGACTTCTTCTTCTCTTCTAATGTTCATTTCAAAAAAGGTAACTGCAAGTACTCTGCATAAAACAGCTGATGACAAGTGTTTCATTTTGCTTCAATCGTAGTTCAACACACAGAGACTAACAAGGTCTTTAGTTTTAGATTTTACCCGCTTTTGACCGAGGGTTACATAGAATGATCTAATTCCGAAGATCTTATCCCCTTCAATATCAGGTATATCTTGCATCAAAAGCAATATAAAAACCATAGGACTAGAATGCTTTGATTTGAGAGTATACAGAACTAACCATTTTTCCATCTCTTCTTACCTTAAACAATGCAATACCGACAGAGAAGAAGCTCATAAACGCAGTGGCGAAAACAAGAGGCCTCGTGAACATGACCAGTCTTCCAAACACATGAGTCTACAACAAAGTTTCACAGCTTTGGTAACAAATAGAGATGTTGATGGAAAACTTCGAAACATAAAGCATAGTACTTGAATATGTAGATAAAAGGCAATTTGAACAATGATAGTTCGGTCAGCGAGGATACACATTGCTGCAACCAATGCATATCTTTTCCACCGTAAAAGTGGGAACTGTTTGTAGTAGGAAGAAATTTAATAGAAACCAATATTTCAATAAGAGCAAAACCGATCAAGGTGATAATCTTACTTACATTGATAGAGTATGCAGTACCGAGCATGAAACTCACAAAAAGAGCCCAGAATAATGGCCATGAACCAACAATCCACCTAAGCCAGAAACTCTATAAGTTCAAAAAAAAAAAATCAGATTATCATTATATATTTATATCAACTACAAGTTTGTGAAAATGATTCATACCGAGCAGGAAGCTACTATTGCAATGCTGATCTTAACAGAATATTCTCCTGGCGCTAATGGAAGATATGGCTTGTTAACCTGCAAAGAGCCACATAAAGTTTGATATAAGCCCTATCATATGAAGAACACAAACACAAGACACATGTTACCTTATTTTCTTGTTGTATTTGCAAATAGTTTTTGTTTACAAGAGAGAGAAATGTTTATTAAGTGTGCTGATAAGTGATAACTGTATGAGGCCTTGAACCTGTAAAACACATCTAACGAGTCCATAAAAGAGTTTGGTTTTCTCTTGGGGTCGAATGCTTCGGGCTGACCCGCGGTGACATTAGCTCTAAGTCTTGACTTATGTCTCGAATACAAGAACAAAGAAGATTCTTGACCATCGAGCCTAGTAACAAGATTGTTCTGCTTTACAAGAACTTTACAACGAAGAACTGGTGTTTATGAAAAATTTGAGCAAAACCAACATACATAACGTTGACAATTAAGCGGATTTAATTTGTGTGAGTTTCAGAACAGGTGGAACCTTAGACATACCTGATAAAGAGTGGAGCTTTAGATTCTGCTTCCTCCAGAAAAGTCCATCACTAGCTGATATATTACATTTGCATGCACAAGAAACAAGTATTCAAATTAACTCACAGCAAAATTTAATCTTCTCCATACTGTGTCCTGCTTCAATCTATATATTTTTAAAAAAAATCGTATTTTATTTGCAAAAAAAAAGAAGGTAGAACGTATTGTATGGAACTGAATCACAAAAACAAGAACCTTGAAAAGGAAATCGATCTAGCTGTAGAAGAAGAAGAAGGGATGTACCATAGAATCCTGTAGAATCGGTCGTGAATGATTTGAATGGTGTCAGTGACACTGTTCAAATCTCTAGAAACAAAGAATTATAAGAACAACTTTTCTTATTAGCTTTAGAAACTACTCAAAACTAAAGCTCACAATATGTTTCTCTTAGATCATATGGAACACCTCTCCATAAGACCTATATTTATAGTTAAGATAATTCCCTTGAACATGTGGGATATGGAAAACACAAACCTAATCTAATAGAAAACTTCCTNTTGCTAATGGCTTGGTTAGGATGTCGGCCTTCTGCACAACACCCGGCACATGCTCCACTTCGATTTGCCCATTCTCCACACACTCACGAATGAAGTGATACTTCTTGAGTACATGCTTACTCCTTCCATGGAAAACTGGATTCTTCGTTAGAGCAATGGCTGATTTGTTGTCGATCCTAAGCGTGACCTTCTTGCCTTCATTACTTAGTATCTCACTCAACAAGTCTTTGATCCATATAGCTTGCTTTGCTGCTTCTGTTGCTGCCATGAACTCTGCTTCGCATGATGACAATGCAACCGTCTGCTGCTTCTGCGACGTCCAAGTGATCAATGATGAACCGTAGTAGAATGCATGCCCTGACGTGCTCCTCCCGTCATCGAGATCAATATTGTGACTGCTGTCACTATAACCAACGACACTCCTTGACCCATCTCTCTTGAAGAACAGACCGAAGTTTGTTGTTCCTTTGACATACCGCAATATGTGCTTGATGGCTTGTCCATGAGAGTCTCTCGGATTGTGCATGTATCTGCTTAGAACACCCACTGCGTAACACAAGTCGGGTCGTGTGTGAAGCAGATACCTCAAGCATCCTATGGTTCTTCTGAACTCCGTAGCATCTATCTCTGGTTCATCTTCAGCTTTCGAGATCTTCAAGTTCGCCTCCATTGGAACTTGAGTTGCGTTACACGTCTCCATCTTTGTGTCACACAGGATTCCTTGAGCATACCTTTCTTGCTTTATTCTGACTCTGTCTGCTCCTTGAATCACCTCAATGCCAAGGTAATACGTTAGCTTACCTAGATCTGACATCTCGAACTTCTTTGACATCTCCTCCTTGAAACGCTTAATCACCTTAAGAGAAGTTCCAGTCACAAATAGATCATCAACGTAGATGGCTATGATCAAGACGTCTCTTCCTTCAGTCTTGCGGTACACTGATGGTTCCTTC